AGATAGATAGATAGATAGATAGATAGATAGATAGATAGATAGATAGATAGATAGATAGATAGATACATACATACATACATACATACATACATACATACATAGATACATAGATAGATACATAGATAGATACATAGATAGATAGAGACATTTGGAAAATAATGATAAATATGTGTGTGTATATATATACATATATATATATATTGTGTGTGTGTGTGTGTGTATTTGTGTGTATGTGTGTATGTGTGTAAATGAAACCTATCCCATCATCAATGAGCAAGACATACTTGCATTTTCAGCTTACCCTGCTACATGCGGAACAGGCCTTATTATTCCCATATCACACAGGAGCAAAGGTCACCTTTGAGATGTTCCTGCCATAGCGGGACACACTACCTTGATCATGGCATCAGTCTCTATGGCATCCTGCTCCTTCTCATCAGACTGACTGTCATCTTCCTGTGACTCTTCATGGTACTCAGAATCCAGTGCTGGGCCTGTGCTGAGTCTTGATGTCTTTACTGCCTGAAGCGAGTACGGAGTCAGGTGGACTTCCTTATTATAAGCTCTTGTGAAGGCTGCTTTCACCTAAACAACAAAGGAAAGTGGTTACCCTGAGTGTCCTGGGTGCTGGACAATGCGTTAACATCAGTTAAGCTGAAGCTTTGAGAAGTCCAGGAAATCCCTTTAAACTATTTACAAAATAGTTACATACATAATAGAACCCAAGTACATTCATTCTTCTCTAGGGAATTCTGTGTGCGTGTGCTAGAGGTCAAGTATAAGCCTTGTGCATACTCGGCAACTCCACCATCACTGAGCAGCTATGTGCCCAGCACACAGCATTTATTTTTATATTATTTATTTATCTGAGAATTTCGAACCCACAGCTCAAAAAAAAAAAAAAATTAAGAGTAAGTGGTTAAGACGTGTGTAGTAGCACACATCTTTAATTCCAGCACTCTGGAGACAAGAGGCAGGAAGACCTCTGCTTGGTCTTCAGAGCAAGTTCCTAGACAAGGGCTATACAGAGAAACCATGTCTCGAAAAATCAACAAAAGAAGAATCGTGGTTAATCTGTGATCGATAAGTAAGTCAAAAAGAGCTCACTATAAGATTCAAGTTGGTCTTGACTATAAACCATGGAAACTGGTACACATGGCAGTAGCACATGCTTGTAATCCCAGCAACTTGAGGAGGCAAAGGAAAGAGAATACAGGTTCAAGAGCTGCCTAGACTATATAAAACATAGTGAAGGTCAGTCTGGGCAACTTAATGACCACGTCTCAAAAAGTTCAAAAGGAGCTGGAGAGAGAGACCTCAGCAGTAAGAGTACATGTGTGGTATACAGAACGTTCTAGGTTCAATCTCTAGTTCTGGGAAAAGAAAACCAGTCTGGGGAAGGGGAAGAAGAAGAGGAAGAAAAAGGGGAAGGGAAGAGAAGGGAAGGAGAGAAGAGGAGAGGGGAGGGGGAAGGGGAGGGAAAAGAAGAAACAAAAGAAAGGGAAGGGAAGAGAAAAGTTAGAGAAAAACTTGATAAAAATCCTCAGACTGTAAATACACTCTACATCACCACCTCTCAAGCTCACCCCGCCCATCAAGAACATATCATTCTTGCACCTTACACCTGTTCTCTTATTATTCCCCTTGAGTAAAACAAGAACTGTAAAAGATAAAAACACGAACTGTAGCGTCAAATTCTGCAATTCATCAAATCCTCTGACCACCATCCTAAAACACTGTCTCTGGAAAGCATGGGCCAGAAAGGCAGCAAACGTTCAGGGAGGAACAAATGTGTAAAGCAACTATAGTCCCCTCAAGCACTGCTAGGACAGCCATAGACAGTGGGCAGTACATCTTACCTTAGGATCCAGCCTGGAAAAGGGACTGGGCTTGCCACCCCAGCTGCTAACTTCCATGATATTCTCAAAGTCTTCTCTCACTAAATAATACGTGTCCATGAGTGTGACAACATGCTGAACTCCTTCTACCCCTTGTGAGGTCAAGGGTCGCACAAGTGCATCTCTGATGTGTGACAGGTAATCCATGTTCACCGTTCTTTTGCTGGAGTAAGTTCTGAAGCACACAGGACAGAAGGATACACATCTTTATTTTTTAAATCATGTCAATGGCTCCCCATTACACCCCCCACATTAGATCATCACTACCAGTCAGCCAGATTCTTTTGTCTTTTCAACATGTAATTATTTTACAGCATGTAAATTATTTCATAGGTCCTTTTAATGAACAGTATTTTGTCCTTAGAAAAAACAGCTCTTAGGGCGGTCAGATGCCATACAAGCCTGAGTTGGACCCCAGGACCTATAAGTGGAGAGAGAACCACAGGCACTCTCGCATGCAGATGTACACACATAACCAACCAACCAGTAACCACTCTTTAACTACTACAGAATACTGCGTTCAAAATGAGTCAGTAAAATAAGACATCCACATGAGTCAATGGGCTGAAATACAAAAAGGTTTTAGCCAGGTATGGTGGTGCATGTCTTTGATCCCAGTGCTCTGGAAGAAAAGACGGAGAGATTTCTCTGGTAGTTCAAGGCTAGGCTGGTCTACATAGAAAGCTCCAGACCAGACAAGGTTACATGGTGAAAATATTCCTCTCTCTCTTTCTGTCTGTCTCTCTCCACACCACACACACACAGAGACACACACACACACAATATTTTTAATTTCAGTAAGCATTGTAACGTAACCAATCAACCAGAATTTATAAATTGATTATGTATTTCTATGCATCCACTCTAAACTGCTGATCCAAGTCAGCATAATAATGTTCAGTGGAACTCCCGCCATTTAACAGGGGGTATTGGGACATCTAGCACTCCCCCACTGTGCTCAAAGGCAGTTTTCTCCTTTGCTCTGACTGGAAAGCAAATATGGGTTCTACTTCCATCTTACTCAACACCCCAACAATTGTGTCTCTGTGCTTAGCCTTACCATAGCCATATCGATTCATCGTTCCCAGCCCAATACCAAAGGCATCAGGAAACAGCGAGAGTGCCTACACTTAGTGCCACTTTTTGGTCTGACTGTAATAGAGACTGTACATGAAGACCTCCTTTGTACTTCCCCATGTCTATGCTTGGAACCTTCCCATCGCGGGCAGGGTTTTCCTCACCCAAGAAGCTGCAGAGACTGCCTACAAAGCTGGAAAATGGTCTATGGATCCAGGGCAAGCAGGGAAACAGGCTTTGGGCTGCTGAGAACTAGAGTGTTACCAAGAATTAACTTTTCTGGGCTGGTGTGGTAACACAAGTACTCCAGAGGCAGAAGCGGGCAGATCTCTGTGAGTTCAAAGCCAGTACAGAGTGAGTTACAACACAGCCAGAGCTATACAGAGACCTTCTCTCAAAAAAACCAAAAAAATTAAAAACTGACTTTTTCTTTCCCAAATACTGGCATTCCCTTAAAAGTAAAAAACTGAGCAAATGCTGCCATTCCACATGTTTACAATTGCTTCTAGCTTCAAACCTGGCAATACTGTATCCAGGTGCTTTAAGCTGGGGGACCTCAGGCTGGGTGTGGAAGTGACATTGGTGGTCCTAGTAAACCCAAAACAGTCTGGCGGCTCCTCCATCTCCCATGCCACAGAACAGCACTTTCAAGTCTCCCTGACTCTGACACAGCAGCCTCCATTTTATAAGGACCTGGGATGGCACTGCACCCACCCAGAAAACCCCTCAGGAAGAAAGGAAGTTTATGTTGCTTTAAGTCACTCTGTGTCAGAGCAGCAACAGGAAACTAAGGGTGGAACGGGGGCTCCTGCCATGAGCTAGGAAGAGAGAATTTAGGGAGAACTGGGACATCACAGGACAGGAACTGCCCCAGCTTTCTGCAGTGACCGGGGTAGGCCCAGAAATGAAAATAGGATTCTTCAGCAGGCTTCATGGTTATCAGCAGATCCCTCACATGGTAATAACTTATCAACTGTAACAAACTGTGACAAACTCAAGCACTGTTAAACTTCTTTAAACTTTCCAAGTGTGTTCACTTTCATGACCCGAGTGGCAGCTCCTGTCGTGCCAATCTGTGTTCCCTATCCCAGACGACTAGGCCAGCTTTCTAGTAAAACAGGTTAAGTAAGACTAACTCATTTCTTTATGAATACTGAAGATTACCTATTCTGAAGAGCAAAGTTATTCCACTAATACAGACACACTTCCAGCACCAACAAACAACAGCAGTCTTTAAAAGATGTACACACTTTAAGAATGCTCTCAAGGGCTGGAGAGATGGCTCAGTGGTTAAGAGCATTGCCTGCTCTTCCAAAGGTCCCGAGTTCAATTCCCAGCAACCACATGGTGGCTCACAACCATCTGTAATGAGGTCATGTGCCCTCTTCTGGCTTTCAGGCATACACGCAGAAAGAATATTATATACACAACAAATGAATAAATAAATAAATATTTTTAAGAATGCTCTCAAATCATGACACATCTGCCATCTGGCTGGTCTTTTGAGAACAGAACTCAGGCCAAGCGGCAGGAACTTAGCCAAATCATTCAGCTGATGAGCAATGAAGTCCAGTCACCTTCAAGTGCAAACCATCCCTACAGGGTAGCAGAGTGACAGGGATGGCACTAACCCCGCTTACCTAAGACTCATGTGCAAGGCCAGGTCCTGAACAATCCGGTCATGTTTGCCCGTAGATGAATGCTTCCCCAGCCAGCTTGGGAAGCTGGGAAACTGAGTCATGTAGCCCCTCATCAACTCTCCAGGAAGAACACTGGCATAAATGGCCTGGAGAAAATCAAACATACAGTCCAGAATTTAAATTGGTATAAAGTTGGGTCCGATGCCCCAACATAAACCATTTTTTCCTCTCTGGACAGGCATGGACGCGAGGGAATAATTGAGACCCAGTTCACACATCAATATTGGAAGGGAGTCTTAGGCTTTATTTATTTTTGAAAATCACCCACGTCTATTTTTTAACTAAGGTGGAAGTTTATTAACATTTGTTTTTGAGGTATTCTTTAGCAGCTTTCATCCCACTGTGAGGTATAAAGAGGGTGGAAACAACCCAAATGCAGCATGTGAAGATGGGGGTCACTGCAGAGTGATTTAGAGCAGAGAATCTTCACTCCGTAAGAGAAAGAGATCAAGCATACATAAACATACACACATCCACCTCCTGCCATGTCATACCTTGTACCACTCAGCACTATTTAAGCAAGGAGGCCATCACCAGACACAGGCTCCTCATCTCCCAAAACTGTGAGCGCAATGAACTGTTCTTTCAATCTTACCTAGTTTGTGGGCAGGACATTATAGCAATCAGAAACAGACTAGCAGTTCATGCCTAATTACAGCACCCTCTCCCTGTCCTAATTACAGGTATGGGAAGTTTCTCCCATAGAAAAAACAGAGTAGAGACTAGGGAGCCAGTTTAGGTAAAGTGCTTGCCACCTGCGCTTGAGGACCTAAGTTAGATCCCCAGCAATCGTGAAAATTGTAATCCTAACACTGTAAGAGACAAGAAGATCCTTGGGACTCAATGGCTGTAACCTAATCAATTCCAGGCCATCATCTATTATCTTGGAGCCATTAAGAACATACTGCTCTTCCAGAGGACCCTAGTTTAGCATCCGCACGGGGCTGTCTCCAATACCAGTTCCAAGAAGATCCAATGAACCTGCCTCCACGGGTACCTACACTAGTGTGCACATTCCTATACACACACACGCACACACACGCACTCACTCACACTCGTATACCTTAAATAAATAGGTGAAGGCTGGAGAGATGACTCAGCAGTTAAGAGGGCTCACTGGCCAGACATGGTGGCGCATACCTTTAATCCCCGCACTAAGGAGGCAGAAGAAGGAGGATCTCTGCAAGTTCAAGGCCAGCCTGGACTACAGAGTGAGTTCCAAGACAGCCAGGGCAACACAGAGAAGGGAAAAAAAGTGCTATTTCTCTTCTGGAGGACGTAAGATCAGTTCCCAGCACAACTGGTTGGTTGTGTGACTCACCTCCAGGGGATTCAGTGCCTCTTCTGGCTTCCACGTGCACTCACCCACACGACATACATTTACACAGACAGACAGCCACACACATGTACACACACTCAGAAAACTAGGCATAGTGGTACACACCTTTAATTTCAGCACTTAGAAGGCAGAGGCAGGCAGATCTCTCTCAGTTCAGGGACAGCCTTATCTATAAAGAGAGGTCCAGGCCAACCAAGGCTACATAGTAAGACTGCTCAAAAAACCAACCAAGCAAAACAAGAAGCAAGGCAGATGGTACCTGATGAATAATCCCCAAGGCTGACCTCTGGCCTCCACATACATGTGAGTGCACACACATATAGCAGTGCAGTGCACAGAGATGAAGTGGGTGGAGAAGAGGGAAAGAGACAAGCAACCCTGGTCTAAAACTGTCTCAGAGTCATCCTTGCAGCCTTGGCCAACCAGCCTCAATCTACCTTTCCCTTCCCAGAGGCCAGTATCACAGCCCAGAATCAGAGAGGAATGTGGCAGCTGACGGCAGGGAGACCAGGTGAGAGCAGACTGAGCTGCCACCCGAGGGAGGTGCCAAGGGGAGGGGTGACTTCAGACGTCTTCTCTGCGCAGCATTTTCAGTCTGTTGAAGACTTTAATTAAACTTTCCACAAATGTTGTATCCTGCCTTATTCTACTAATATTTTCTCCCCAAGTTCTCATCAGATAATCTCTACAAACTGGTTTAAAGGTAGAAGGGCTTTTACCAGGACAACTTACCATAATTCACCATTCTCCTGTAGCTGCCATGTCCACTTTTCTGCAGTGTTTCCTATCAAAACTAATGCTTTGGGAAATATTTTATATAGTGTTTTTCTGTGCTTAAGATTATTTAAGATAAAATCTCAAATGTACAACTACTAAGGAAAGAAAACATTTTTGTACAAATTTTGTAAAAATAAAAAGATAAAAAAAAGAAGGTCTTGGGGGGCGGGGAACGATGGTTGAGTAGTTGAGAGCACTGGCTGCTCTTCCAGAGGTCCTGAGTTCAATTCCCAGCAACCACATGGTGGCTCACAACCATCTGTAATGAGATTTGGTGTCCTCTTCTGGTGTGCAGGTGTACATGCAGACAGAACACTGTATACACCATCTATACTTCAAGAATGAGGCATCGTCTTTTTCTTTTCAAGCAAATGTATGGGTAGAATTAAAAGAGGGCAGGGAGGGCTGGTGTGGGGACAGCCACCTGGAAGAGACTGGCACAGGACTGCCTCAAGTCTGAGACCAGCCTGGGTTACAGAACGAATACCAGACTAACTAGGGCTCCACAACAAGACTTAAACAAAACAAAACAAAAAATCAGAAGAGGGCAGACTTTCTGGAAAGCTTTGGTACTCGGACCAGTAATACTGCTGAATGGACACAAAATTCAGAGCTATGGCTATAGATCCATGGTAGAGTGCTACCTTGCATGTACAAGGCTCTGGATTCCATTTCTAGTATGTATTCTCACATGTGAGAATACTTTTAAAGATTAAGTGTACATTAATCTGTTTTCATAGTACCTAATAAAATGGATTTCTGCAGCAATGAAGAACCTTACCATTCCTGCCCTGGGTGCACTTTTCCAGGCAGGGCTCTGAGCAGTGACCCTCTCAGAGAGCCACAAATGCACAAAGATTCTTAAGGTAAAGCAGTAAATAAGACTTCTGATGCACACCTGTGGCTGGAACTGACACCTAGAACACTTATTCCCATTCCTCCGTTTACATGAAAACACTTTTTAGCAAATAAAGACAATAGTGACCAGAGTTTTTTTTCTCTAAACAAACTATAATTTTGCCTCAAAAGACTATAGAGATAGCTCAGCAGTTACAAGCACTGGCTGCTCTTCCAGAGAACCTGGGTTCAGTTCCCATTACCCACATGGTGGCTCACAACCATCAGGAACTCCATTTCTAGAGTATTTGATGCTCTCTTCTGACCTCCACAGGCACATGCGTACATACAGGTAAAACACTGATAAACATAAATAAAATTATTTAAAGAAAAAAACTAATTATAGGAACCACAAGAATCTTTCTTCAGCTGAAGTAGGCCCCACGCTTACCTGTGTGGGCAGAAGACTCCAGTTCTGCTTACTCCGGACCTGACTGTCCACTAAGTCACCGTCACATATGCTGTCTGCCGCCCGGCTTAAAAGCATCAAGTGCTTTTTCATGTCACCCCTGCAGAGAAGCGCCAGTCTGAGTTACAACACTATCCACTCCAGCCATTCTGCACAAGCACTTGGTCTCTGTAGTGCTGGAAGATCCTGATCCTACCCCTCAGTGCCCTCAGCGCTTACCCTGCAGCCACAGGCTTTACATGGAGATAGTTCTCCTGAACAAAGAGGGGGGCTATGGAATAGTCATGGAAAAAGAGATCCGATTTGTCCATCAGTGACATGTGTGCAGTCTCCTCTCCAGCTGCAAACACCTTCCGGGCAACATCAAATGGGCCCTGCCAAGAAAGGGCACAAAATGACTGAATGACCAAAACCTAATACTGGTAAAGAAACGAGCAACAGGAACCTTCACTGCCTGCTGAGGAGATGGCACAGCACTCTGGGGGTCCCAAATGAACAGTTTAAGGCACCTTTATCATCACTGTCAAAATCTGGAAGTACTAAGATGTCCTTCAGTAACCAAACGGGTAAATAAACTAATACACGTCCAGGCCTTTGACTATTACTTCTCAACAATTTTAATAAAAAAAAAATACCAGCTAGGAATGTTGGGATATAACTGTAATCCCAGCACTTGGGAGATGGAGTTCAAGGTCAGCCTCAGCTACACACTGTCTAGAAGCCAACCCAACTGAGCTATAGGCCACACAATTTCAAAAGACCAAATAAACAAACAAAAAGGACAGGAAAAGGAAAGAACAGTTGGTCAGTCCACTAGAAGACAGGACAGAGCCTTAAATGTACACAAATGTACTCTATGGAGTGAAAGGAGTCAATTTCCAAAGGCTACATGCTGTATGGTTCTCACTATATGCTCTGGAAAAGGCAAAGCTATGGAGATGGAAGAGACTGGCGGTTATGAGCCAGGCGGTGGTGGTGCACACCTTTAATCCTAGCAATCAAGGGGCAGAGGAAGGCAGATCCCTGTGGTTTTAAGGCCAGCCTGGTCTACAAAGTTAAATTCCAGGACAGCCAAGGCTACATAGAGAAAACCTGTCCTGGAAGGGAGGAGGGAAGAAAAAAAAACTTATAGCTCTAATTATAATTTCTGACTAGTAAAACGGAGCACAGAGGCAACCGACAGAGACCCCTAGCTGTGGAGTTAAAACTAACCATCTGAAACACGTAATTCCCAGCAGTAAAAACCTTGAAGGCCATGAATGCATGCAGAAGGTATGCTGAAAAAGCAACTCCGCAAGATGAAGCATGGGCCTCACTTAAAACACCCCTTCCTCAGAATCTGCAACAGATGAGGACCATGCCTGTCCCACTGCCTACAGGTCTGACAAGTCCTTGGGCTCCACAGGTCCAACACAGGAGGAGTCCATTATGTCTACAAAGCTAGTACAAGCAGAACAAGAAACATTTCAACTTCAAACTAGGAAATGGAAACACATTTTACCAGTTTGATGTCCTTCTTGGCCCTCTGAGAATCAGTCTTGGCTTGGTCATACGTTAGTGCCTTACTTTGTGCACACCACATACTCATATTATGTAAAACCTACAAGAAACATAAATAAGATGAGAAAGGGTTACTATTCTCCTACCCTGTACAAGTTTGAAGAATGAGGGGGCAAAGAAATTAACAATTGTCAAGAGCTGGAGAGATAGCACAGCAGTTAAGAGCATTGATTGCTCTCCCAGTACCCATATGGTAGCTCACAGCCATCTGTAATTCCAGGGCCAAGGATTCTAATGCCCGCTTCTGGCCTCTGCCAATACTAGGCACACAAGTAGTGCGCACTTACATGCAGACAAAATACCCATACACACAAAATAATAAGATTAGAAGAGTAACAACTGACACATAATATATAACTCACCTGTCTGACATCTTGATTAGCTCCCAAAATTATTTCATTCATGGCTGGAGGGGGGATCTTCAAACCCTCTTTAAATGCAATAGACAGCATCGCACTCTGAAATTGACAAGGAAGGACAGCGTCACTGACCTTTTTAACTTACAGCATCTAAAATTCTATTAAAATATTTGTGAGATACTTTGGAAAACTGACCCTTGAGCTTTCATTTAGCAATCATTGCATCTTGGATAAACTTCACTGGCTACAATATTGACACTGCCTAAAGTTGAAATCAACCTTTATGTAAAGATGATAATGACATTTAAAAAAGAAATTCTGAACCAGCGCGCTGGCTAGTTTTCTATAAACCCAACACAAGCTATAATCACTGAGAAAAGCAAAGGGGATTGAGAAAACACCTCCATAAGATCCAGCTGTAAGGCATTTTCTTAATTAGTGATCGATGGGGGAGGGCCCAGTCCACTGTGGGTGGTGCCTGGGTTCTGTAAAAAAGAAGGTTGAGCAAGTCATGCGGAGCATCACTCCTCCACGGTCTCTGCACCAGCTCCTGCATAGAGGAAGGTTCCTGCTTTGTGTGAGTTCCTGTCTTGACTTCTTTCTATGGTAAACAGTGATGTGAAAATGTAAGCAAAAAAAAAAAATCCTTTCCTCCCCAAGTTGTTTTTGGTCACCATGTTCATCACAGCAATAGGAACCCTAAGGCAGTTAGCAAGATCGCTCAGAGGGTAAAGGCACTTCCCATCACACCTGAAGCCTGAGACTGATTCCTATGTGGTACAAGGAGAGAACGGCCACCCAAAGGATGCCCTCTGACCTCCACACGTATACCCTACTGTACATGCATGGGCTCACATGTGTGTGCACATGGACACAGAGACACACACCAAATAAATGTGGTGGGTTTTTTTTTTTCATTTTTTTAAATTACAATCATCATACCTTAATCTGTTCAACCCGAGGTCTTTGGAAACGAAGATCAAAACAATAATGAACCAAAGAGCGAATTTTGGGATGATTTCTATCATTGCACATACAAATGATAGGGATTTTAGTATGCTTTATCAGGCCTATGAGTTCCTAAAAGGCAAATTGGGAACATAAAAATCATTATTTTAATACTATTTAATATATTTTAGTATTTTTTAAAAAGCCCTCAAATGCTATAACCCATATTTCTTAATCTATAAAAATCAACAGTAAAAAAAAAAAAGATATAATGCTGTCACCTGAATTCCGCCCCTGTCCTCACTGCCTGCCATGCCATCGACCTCATCCATGATGAGAGCATGCTTCGAGCTTACCGAAGGAGCTGCTCCGCCTGGCCAAGGGTGAGACAGGACAAAAACACAGCAACACTGTTCAAACTGCTATTCTGCAGAAAGTTCTAAACATATTTTAAGTTTCAAAAACTGCAAATGTTAAACCATGACAAGAAATTCTCCCAATCCTTCCACAGTCCCAGTTTCTCTTCCCAGCAGCTCCCTTAAAATGTGTACCTTGTGGTTCTTCACTTAATAATTTGTGGTCACTGACCCATTCCCCCTCCCATCCATCAATAACACTTCCTTTCTCCTAAGATTTACTTATTTTCCAGGCAGTCGTGGCGCACACCTTTGATCCCAGCATTTGGGAGGCAGAAGCAGGTGGATCTCTCTGAGTAGGTCAGTCTCATCTACAGAGCGAGTTCCAGGACAGCCAGGGCTACACAAAGAAACCCTGTCTCAAAAAACAAAAATCTAATAATAAAAAGATTTATTTATTTTACGCATATGGGTATTTTGTATGCATACATGTCTGCATACCAGAAGGGGGAATGTCCAACCTCAAGAACACTTCTTTTTAATGTAATTTAATATTCTACTTTACAAATGTATAATAATTTAGTTTATTAATGAAATCTAAGATACATCCAAGATTTTGCTATCTCACACTTATATTTAAATATTCCCATATGTATGTATGTGTCTATGTGTGTCTGTGTCTATAGTGTGTGTTTATACCATTGTGCACATATTAAAGTATAATGACAGCTAAATTCCAGAAACTGGAATTCAGAAATCAGAAATTATGTATGATTTAAACTTAAGGAAAATGCCAGATTGCCTAAGAGTTGAATTAATTCTTCCACTAGTCATATAGAAAAAGTAACATGGAGAGATAGCTGTCAGTGCAGTGTTTGCAGTGCAAACACAAGAACCTGAGTTCAAACCCTATAATATACATAAAAATTCTTGGGTGTAGTGATGCACACATCACACATCTCACACACACACACACACAGAAAGAGAGATTGTGAGTGAAAGGACTTTTTCTGAGCAACTTTCAACAAGTAATTTTCAGCATTAAAAATACCAAATAAAATGCCAATTAAAAAAAAAAAAGAAAGAAAACAAAGTTCTGAGTAATTCTCCACAGGCACGTGGATCCTTAACTAATACATCTTCACTAGTCACAACCTGAATATCGTGGGCCCTTCCACAGATATGATATCATCTAGCTCGAAAGGGGCCCCTCATTCTTCAAGGCTTTTTGAACAAATACATCCTTTTACTGGTAGATTACAGAATGCCCCAATCAACCACAGGCCTTACACAGGCCTTACACAGGCCTTTTGACCTCATATATCACACTGTATTTTTCATTTATTTTCCATACTCCTTTATGGGATTCACCTGCCAATTATCTAAAATTACATACAAAATGAAAACTGTGTTACTCTGTACACATTTTTATCACATTCTCAGAACCCTCTAAGACTTACAAGGGTAGTAACCACTGCTCAGGACACCCCAGGATGCTTACACACAGCAGTACTCACTACAGAACACTGAAGTGACTTGTTCTTAAACACATCTACAGTCGCAGTTCAAAAGGACACATACTTGTATAAAAGCCTTTGATGCTGGTGTTATTCAATGACTCAGCAACAACTGATTTCAAACTGTTCTTACTTCGAGTATCACTTGCATTTAATTCCACGTAACTGTAGCCCAGTTCCTAGTAAAAATATTGGAAATTGTTACTATCACAGTGCAAATGACCCTCGAGGCGGGGGGGGGGGGGGAAACATCATTAAGGAACACAGAGTTTCTAAATCACATAAAAAAACACAAGTAAAAATATTAAATATGATACAAATAAGCAAATTTAATATTCTTCATAGTTTAAAGATTCTTTTTTTTTGAAAGTAATTTTATTAAATTATAAAAGTTTCCATTTACGCCCCTCTTCCCAACACCCTCCCACTCCCCCCCTCCCTCTCCTCCTCCCTCTTTGTCCCTAAGGGCAGTCAGGGTTTCCTGCCCTGTGGGAAGTTCAAGTTCCTCCCCGCTCCCTCCAGGTCCAGGAAGGTGAGTATCCAAACAGACTGGATCCCAAAAATCCAGTATATGCAGAGGAAACTAGTCCCAGTGTCATTGTCAATGGCTTCTCAGAAAGACTCCAGGCCAGCCACATTCAGAGAATCCGGCCACATTCAGAGAATCTGGTTGGATCACGTGCTCGTTCAGTCGCAGTCCAACTGGCCTTGGAGTTTAAAGATTCTTGAAACAACATACAGACATACAACACACACACAGAAGTTTGCTCTTAAAACCACAGCTGGTAAGCTAGGTACAGTGGCTCATACCTGGTTATCAGACCATCTGCCACAGCAGCACAGTGGTCAAGTAACCCTTAACTTAATAATGGTTCTAAAGAACAAGAGTGGGAATGCAAGGAGGGCACCAGGACACAGACACAGAAGGTCAGACTAACGCTAGAAAAAGGGCAGAGGAAAGCATGGTACACACAGGTCTCTACAGTGCCTGCAGCTACAGCATCTACTGGGGGCTTAGGAACGTTTAAGGGGAAATAGATGTTATTACACTAGCCAATAGAATAGTAGGTTTGGGGGCAGTTGTTTGTTTTCTTTGGCTTTTCTGAAACATTCTATGTGTCCTGGAACTCACTATGTAGACCTGTCTCCCCAGTGCTGGAATATAGATAGGCATGCACCTCCACACTCAACCAGAATAATATTGTTTTTTAAAGGATGGAGTGACAAACATCGCTAGAGCCAAAGAACTCGCTAGGAAAATATACACTGTAGGTTTACACACAGCAATACATACAGAGCACATGCACACAAGAGCTATGTAATCACTGCAAGGTTTTACCTTTCCAGCTACACCCACCTGACACACAAGAGAAGCTGTAGTGGTTTTGCCAACACCCGGGGGTCCAGACAGCAATGCTGCCTTGAAACTGGAACCATCATCTTTGCTGGAAAGTTTGCCAAATTTTGCTGCTAGAGGAAAATAAGTTCCAGAGCATGAACATGCACCATCTAGCGGACTCCAGAAGAGCAGGATCATTCATGAACTGCTCAAGAGCATCCCAAAGCACAAAGGGACAGGGCAGACCTACTGCACTACTGAAAGCACATCACACACGTAACTGAGCTTTAGGCCACTGTGCCAATGCATACCTCGGCTCCATGCCTTTTCCTCATGGGCCCTGAGCACTCTCCACGGTCTCTCACAGGCCTTCGGATCTTGGGACTGGTCATTCTTTCTGGCCAGTGTCACACACCTAGCTATCTACTTGAGCTCCAAAGTCTCCTCAAGAGAGCTGACATCCTCTTCCCTGACCACACCGCATCCCCAGAGCTCCCTGTACTTACCCCTACAGTAGTACTTGGCACATGCATTTAATAACTGGCTCTCTGGGAGCTCCTGAAGGGCCTACTTTGTCCACAGAAGCTCCACCAGGGCCTAGTACTGCACTTGGGCTGAACAGTTTCTCAATAAATACTTGCTGACAGATAAATGAACCAACCATGAGCCTTTTGCCCATGTGTGCAACTGAGCCTTACATGCGACAGACACACATAAAATAACAAGTTGTGAAATCACCATGTTTTTTCTCTTCGGGAGAACTCTTATGCCAGTTTCTGAGCCAGCGTAGCAGTTTGTTGGCACAGCTCTGGTCACCTTGCTGTCCGATTATGTGCTTGAGTGAGGTGGGCTTGTACTTATCCACCCAGAGCAGGTTCTCCACCTTGTTCCCGCTGCTGTCCTCAGCCAGACCCTGAGCCCTGCTGTGGCCAGACGTCTCCTTCACTTCCTGCTCCGTGAAGTCCACGCCCCTCTGAAACACATCTGCTTCCTTCTTCATGGCCTTCGCCGGGCTGCACTTTTGGGGAGTCAGTTTGCTCTTTTTAGACTCTGATTCCTTCTTGGTTGGACTAATTTTTCTTTTTCCTTGGTCATTTTTTTTGGGTGTTTGTCCCAATTTGGACTTTCCTTTCTTCATCTGAAGAGGGAAGATTAAAAAAAAAAAAAAAACCTGAAATGCAGAAGATTGCTATCCTGCTACACATACCCCAGAGGCAAGGTGACATAGCCAAGTGAGCTACTCTGCCTAGGATGCTCCTGTCACAATGGACTACTGCAGTCACCACATCCCACACTTCACAAACATAACAGCATGTCCAGAAAGCCAAGAATGCAGTAGTCACTTTTAAAATGGAAAGATGGAGCCATGGGGTAAACAGCAACTGCTTGTTTTAAAGTTTCTTGACTACATAAAGCTAATGTTTCCTCAAAACCTTGTATATACAAAGTCAGAGCGGCACTGGATTGGATGGGACACACACATTACAGCCATAAAATGAAAAAACACAAATATCCACTGCGGAACTTAGCATAAACAAAAAATTACTGAGATCCACATAATGGGACATTATTCAATCATAAAAGTGACTGAATAGTAATACATACTACAACTTGGTATGCTGTGAAGCCATTACAAAAAGTGAAAAGGCTAAAAACAAAAAGCTACATATGGTATGATTTTACTTATATTAAATGTCCAAATTAGGAAAATCCATAAAACAACAGTATAGTGACTGCCAGACAAAGGGTATGACAAGCAACTATGAATAAGTATAACATTTATTTTTGGAGGCAACAACAGTGTTTGGAATTAGATGCAGTAACTGGGCTAACAAGATGGCTCAGTTAATGTTCCAAGTTCAATCCTCAGAACCTACATTGTGAGAGAACCAACTCAAGCCAGTTGTCCTCTGACCTCTTCATGCATGTCATGTGCCCAAACACATAAAATACATACAATCAAAAATAAATAAATGTATTTTTTTAGTTAGTGATGATCACTGCACAGGTATGTATTATGCTTTTAAAAGGTGACTTTTTAAGGAATGTAAGTAATATTTTAATTTCTAAAACAGTTAAATGTCTTCCAGGAATGCTAGACCTTATGAATGGCCATTTAATGTAGTGACATTTATTTGTATTTCAATAAATAAAGCTCGCCTGAGGATCAAAAAAGTAAAACAGCCACACTGGCCAGCCTTATAGACCAGACAGAATGGCACACACCTCTAACACCAGTAGCCATACTAGATTGCCAAGGCGGTAGTGGTGCATGCCCTTAATCGCAGAACTAGGATTAAACAGGAGACAGCTCTCAGTCCCGGTCTCATTCTGAGGTTTCCTGGAGGCAGGATCATCATTTTCGGACTGAGGTTGAGGTAAGAGCCAGTGACTGGCTGCTTTGCTTTTCTGGTCTTCAAGTTGAACCCCAATATCTGCCTTTGAGTTTTTATTAATCGTGCTTCAATTTAAGGGAAAACATTTCTGGAGATTCAAGGTAACTGTCCACTAAGGAAAGTCATCAGTTACAAAACAGGAAGTCATTCCACTCATGGAGAAGACCGCAGACACTATCTCAACCAAGTAATCAAGACATATCAATATCATGAACATTGAGACACACCAAAAAGAACACAGTATCACCCTGCGTTATTCTTGCCAAACTGGGTAGCACAATCGAATCAGAGAAATGTCGCACAATGCCACAATAGACATTCTATAATCAACTGACCAGAAGAAAGTAAGGAAAGAGAGAACTACCCTTGGTTGGAGGAGGCTGAGACAGCACAAGTCAATGGAGTGTAGGATCCTGGAGCAGAGAGAGGACAACAGGAACAATGTGCAGTTGACCATGAAGCAGCAACATTTACTCCCTACTGGTGGCAACTGGACCACGGTCACAGAATCCACATCATTCCCCGGTCACACTGGTGACGGTCCTAAGGACACTAACCTTGCCTCAGGCACTCCTGAGTCCTGCAGTGACTGGCAGATGGAGAGCAGAACCAGTGTGAGAGCACGAGGAGACGCGTGCGCGCGCACACACACACACACACACACACACACACACACGCACGCACGCACACGCACGCACATACACACACACACACAATGACAGGGTCAGACTGCGTCCATCCTGTCCTCCGCCTACTCTACTGTCCTGTTTCCCCCCTCTGTTGAAAACAGAGACTAGTTTCTGTCATAATGAAAAACTCCTAATAGAGTTTTCACTAAAGATGCTAATAAACTTCTCTTTAAAAAACAAAGAACAGAAAACAAAGCCTTCAGACAGTAACATTTACAATAAAGTCAATACAAGAATACCAAATATGAACTGAGGACATAGTTCAGCAGTTAAAAGCACTTACTTTCCGTGCAGGACCTGAGTTCAGTTCCCAGAACCCATGTCAGGTGGCTCACAACTGCCCATAACTCTATTTCCAGGGAAAGATGTCCTCTTCTGGCCTCATAAGCACTGCATTCATGTGCATGTGTACACACAAATAAAAATTTTTAACAGTGTGGTCAGGTGTGGTGGCACGTGCCTTTAATCCCAGCATTCCAAAGGCAGGGGCATGTGGATCTCTGAGTTTGAGGTCAGCCTGGTCTACATACCTCGCTCCTTACCAGCCAAGACTAAGTAAATTGCTTGAATCTTTTAAAAAATATATGGAAAATAAGTATGAGTAGATATGTTATACAGAACACACTATTTGCTACCTTCCCTCTCTCTTCCCCTGAAAGACATCCTGAGACACAATCTTCCAGAGCAAGAGGAAGTAAGGTGGTACAGGGGCATAGCTAACAATACTGTCTACTATGCATCTCCATCAAACAGGAGATTTATATGCCAACTTCATTAAACCAGGCTTGTCTTATACACACCTCAGCTTCAGCAGCTATTTCATACTTGGATTTCTTGCCTGGCATAGTTCGAATCAGATCCAACAGACCATCTTCATCAAGGATTTTTGTTCCCAGAGCTGCTGCCTGTTGAGTAAAATACAAGTCATCAGAACTCCATCCAAATCACTTCATTCTGTAGAGGAAAAATTATTTTAAGGCCTACTGGTGGATGAAGAGCCATATTGCAAATATGAATAACACTAGAATTTATCTTTAATTATTTTTAAGATTTCATTCTATGAGTGTTTTGTTCATCTGTGTGTCTATGTACTATGAATGTGCCTAGTAACCAAGAAGGTCTAAAGTTGGCTTCAGATTCCCTGTAACTGGAGATATGGACAATTTTGAGTGGCCAGTGGGTTCTGAGAATTGAATCCAGGTCCTCTCCAAGAGCAACAAGTGTTCTTATCTATGAGCCCTAACACTGGAATTTAAAAAGAAAATCACCAGTTACCATTATGGATGAAATCTAGTACTCCAGTAATGAATACATGAGTCAAGAGAGAGGTTATAAAGCTCTAACTGTTTTCCTAGTTTTAATTCTGTGTGGAGGCCCAAAAATGTGAGCCTATGACCGCTTTGTCTGATAGAGAGTTTGGAGGTTGCTTAAAATGGTTGACAAGTGTAGTTACACATCCTGACTCAGGATGTGGTTACTGGGATCTTTTGGCATAAGTTGGCTCATACAAGTAGATCCATTCCATCCTGACTGATGGTCAGGATATGCAAGTGTACTTCTGCTCCTTCTTTTGTAATGTGAGGTTACCTGGGGAATGGCTGCCTTAGGATGCTTGGTCTAGGGTAGTTTCACTGTCTAAACAACACAATGCTAATGATTTGATGCCTCAAAGTGTTAAAGCAATTAACTGGTCGAGTTGTCCTTTGCATCATGTTAAAGATGCAACATGTGAAGCTCCACAGTTTCAGATTGGTTATTACAACTATATGCAAGCTCCCCTGAGATATATAGATGTATAGTCTTTGAGCCTGGCTAATGTTACTACCTAATGTTTGTTCGTAAATTCTTTACGTACAGTTTTAATTTTTAAAACTTACCATTAAAACTGGGTGATAGTAGTGCATGCCTTTAATCCTAGCACTCAGGAGACAGAGGGAGGTGGAGCTCTGTGAATTCAAGGCCAGCCTGGTCTACAGAACTAGTACCAGAACAGCTAAGGATGTTGCACAAAGAAATCCTGTCTCGAAAAAAACAAAACAAAAACAAAAAACAAAGCTACACAGGGAAACCCTGTCTCAGGAAAAAAACAAAAAACAACAAAACAAAACAAACAAACAAACAAACAAAAACCTAACATTAAAAAGGAAATAATGGGGTTTGGGGTGTAATTCACTAGCTATGTGTGCTAGGTGCACCAGCTAAAGGACCTGAGTTCAAACATCCAGTACCTACATAAAAAGCTGGATGTGGCTGCATATGTACCTATAACTGCGACTCTGTGCAAGATAAAGACAAAAGTGGGTTCCTGGACACCAATGTAGCCCCAGGTTTCAATAAGACTATCTCAAAAGAATAAGGTGGAGAATAGCAAAAAAATATCTAACATCTTCTCTGGCCACCACACAAGTGCGCACATTCATGGGTGTGTGCGTGTACGTGCACAAACACACACATGATTGAAAGGTAAGAGGATACTACAGACTTTAAGGCCAGCTTGGACTATGAGGCAAGAACTTGTCAAAAACTTGACAGAAAAGGAAGAGGAGAAGGTTCGCCACAGCACCACATTCCTATAATACCAGTACTCAGGGTTCAGAGGCAGGAGGACCAAGAGTTTAAAACCAGCTTCAGCAATACAGCAGGATCCTTTTAATTCCAAGAAACCAAGGGGTAGAGTACCTTTCTAGCATGTACAACGGCCTTGGTTCAATGTCTAGTATCATCAAATCAATAAATAAACACACTCCCTAAGCCTGGTTCTTAGTTACAATTCCTATTGTTGTGAGAAAACACTTAACCAAAGCAACTTAGGGAACTCTTTTACAGTTTCACAGCACAATCACTGAGGAAAGGAGATCAGGAACTCATACAGGGCAGGAACCTCAAGACAGGAACTGAGGAAAAGACCATGAAGGTGTGCTGCTTACTGACTTGCCTCTCATAGCTTGCTCAATCTGCTTTCTTAATAGCATCCAGGACCAACAGTCCAGGGGTGGCACCATTCCCAGTGAACGAGGCCTTCCCACATCAATCATCAATCAAGAAAATGCACCACAGGCTTGCCCACAGGCATATCGAGAAGGGGCATTTCTCAGATGAAGTTCCCTCTTCCAAAATTAACTTTGAATGACATAAAACTAGGCAGCACAAGTGGCGAGTGGGTAGTAGTTGGTATGGCATTACTACTTTTGTGCTATTCTTTACCTTTGTTCCCCCTAGAAAGGAACAGAGCCAGGAGGACTGAAGTCCAGCCTGTTGTAAGAGGCCGCTTGTTCATTTCCCGGCCACCCAGACTCCCAAAATAATCACACAGAAACCATATTATTTGCAATACTGTTTGGTCAATAGCTTAAGTGTATTTCTGGCTAACTCATATCTTAAATTAACCCATCTCCATTAATCTGTGTAAAGTTCCGGTGTCTGTCTCCAGCGGCTTCTCTCTGACTCCACCTCTTTCTCCCAGCATTCAGTTTAGTTTTCCCTGCCTAGCTCTATTTTGCTAAGCCACTGGCCAAAACAGCTTCTTTATTCATTAACAATAAAAGCAACACATATACAGAAGGACTTCCCACACCACCGGCCACCTCTATTCCCTATGTTTTACTCAGGTGGCAGTCATTTCCTACCTTCCTGCTAAGGACTCTAGTATGTCCATCTCTGAGGGAGCAGGTCCACCTAATGAGAAGGCCTGTTCTCTTCTACCAATGAAGTGGCACATTCTAGAGTGTTGCTGGGACAGCCCTGTAAGACCAGTCCCAGCTACACAGCTTTTTCCTACCTCACAAGCACAAGGCAACATGCTTGATACCCAGAAGGCTGAGAGAAGGTGGCTGGGACTAAAGGGGTTAGTTCCTGAACTGCTAAAACGTCCCAGTGACTATCGCCTCAGGAATTCTTTTTATGTAAAGAAAAACATTAGTCGGGTATCCTGTTACTTCCTATAGACCCCTGCTTCTCTCACACAGCTACCAATAATGAAAACTTAAGATAGGATCTATAATGGCATGTATAAGAAAATCTGGAACCCAAAAAAAAGAAAACTATATGCTTCTATGTTAAAAAAAATTTTTGAAAAGATTTAAACTAGAATACACAAAGAAAGTCAAGTAAACAGCAACTATGATTTCAATTAAAAAACCAAAATCACGCCAGGCGGTAGTGGGGCACACCTTTAATCCTAGCACTCAGAAGGCAGAGACAGGTAGACCTCTATGAGTTCAAGGCCAGTATGGTCTACAGAGTGAGTTCCAGCACAGCTAGAGCTGTTACACAGAGAAACCCTGTCGTCTCGACAGACAGCATGTATATGGTGTGAGGAGTCACCAACAGCCACAGCAAGCAGGCACTACTGTGAGGAAAGCTAGTAGGACCCACCTTGTCACTCTTGGACTGTCCGCCGTCCCGGCCCATGATCAGATAGTTGGTTTTCTTGCTTACATTTCCTGTTACTTTCCCCCCATAACGTTCAATTAGAGATTTGGCTTCTTCCCGTTCAATGGACTCCAGCACGCCCGTGATCACAAATGTCAGGCCTTCTAAGCAATTTTCAGCTCCCTACAAAACCAAAATGTTCAAGCAGAGAGGAAATTACATGGTAGCTTTCCAAAGAAGTATCTGGCAGCCAAGCTACAACAAGCTGACTCGTCTCACTCGACATTATAAATAACCCCAGCATGAAACCTGGCTGAGATTACAGCAAAACCTCAAAGTAAATCCTGATGAATTCCTACATAGCTAACATCTAACAGACACCAAAAGAATGAACAAAAACACACTGTTAGCAAAATTAAAATGACCTGTTCATGCCATTCTCCACTTTTCATATTTAAATCAATAATTAGTGTTCATAACTTGGTGTAAACATCAAATATAATCTGCCCACTGCCACTCCCACTGTTGTTAAAGGCCAGCTTTGGTTCTGGAAAGCTTCTCAAGTTGGAGCTCTCACCGTTCTCTCTGCTGATTACTCATACTGAGAGTAAACCTAAGAAACCGCTTGATACATAAAGGTCAGATCACAACACCCATACCCACTGGAAAGAGAACTGGTCATATCAGAGCTGACCAGGCTTCTCCTCACAAATCTCAACTGCAACTCTGCACGGCTATAGAATTTTTAATTTTTATAACAGATTGGCTAAATTATACAAACACAATGGTCATTATACATGATGTGCCCTGCTCCATATTACTCCTTAAATAGAACTGAGATTGTTAAAGACTAACAAAGTCTTGAGAAGAAGCTAAACAAAACTTGAAACATGCCCCAGCATAAGCTTGATTGTTCCCCCTCCACATAAAGAGCCTTTCTTGGAAGGAGAAAGTGGTTATTATTTACCCAGAAAGAATGCAGGAAATGGCTAACAGCATCTCTTCAGTTCCTCCATTTTCAGGAGTGAAATGAACAATTAAACCTTCTCAACAGACCCCAAATCATCCCGAGAACTCCACATCAAGATGCTCCTCCACTTCAACCCCCAACCTACTGTCCCCTGCCTGCTCTCCCACTGAAGCACACAATGTAATTTTATTGACCCAACCTGAGTCCCGCCAGCCTCCTTACCAAGTCCGTCCACTAGAGGACTCCTCTACAGCTCTGACTCGGGGAAACTAGCCGCAGCCTCAACCTCTGCAACTTTCCCTCAGCCTTGCTACCACAGACACACAGCAGTCCCCGAGGACACCACTGGCCGAAAGCCCTCAAACAGGCGCTTGTTTAGTCTTCCAGTGTTCCACTGTGTACAGGAGGCAAGGCTGACCTCTTCTTCCAGCCCCTTTCCTCCCCTCTAGCTACCTACCCTTCCTTCCTTACGGGGACTACTAATCTCCTATGTAGTCACGGACACTTTCTGAGAGGGTCTATCCCATCAGCAAGAACACCTTAAGTTCCTCCTACCATTTCTACTTCACAACCAAACATATCAAAAATATCTGTCTGTATGTCACCTCATAGTCTTCAAGCCACTGCATCAGCTGTCCCCACTGCTCTACTCACGGTCCTTGCTGAAGTCGTCACTGAGGACCACTACTCATGTTCCTCCATGCAATGGACAACTCCAAGTCTCCCCTGCTGGCGCTTTCACAGCACGGCAGACCACACCACTCAATCACCTTTCTTGCCTGTGCTTCTCTGACTTCTCTCACATCTGTGCCCGCTACTCGTCAGCCCCATTGTGGTTTTCACCCCATTTTCATAAAGAGTCTGTGGTAAGGCCTTCTTCTCAGTTTGCCAGGGTTTGTCAGATGATAGTGCTCCCTCTCAAAATTAGCTGTACACTACTACTACTTAGGTTCACGTGCAGTCATGCTTTTGTCCCGAGCTCCATTCCCACAGTCCCTTGTCTACTGAGTGTCTCCACACAGATGCCTCACACACATCTAAACCACAGTATGGCCAACAACAACCTCATCATCATCTTCCCAAAATGGTTCTGCCTTGGTTTACTCAGATGCTTATGCCATTGCCAGATCATTTCTGGTACCCATTCAGCCACACTTCTCACTTCCAGCCATCCGTGACTCCAGTTCCAGAGACCAATGCTCCCTTCTAGCCTCTGCAGGTACTACAAACACATGATGCACACACATGTAGGCAGAACTCCCTACACAGAAAAGAAAAATAAATAAATCTTCACACACAAAAAAGAAAATGTCACTGGTTAGCACTTCTCACCATTCCTAAGTGATCACCTGCACCTTTTTCTACTCTAGCCATTATAATCTATTCTCAGCAGCCAAAGTGATACTTTACAAACTCGTTCTCTTCGGGGCTTGGAAAATGGCTCAGTGGTTAAGTGCTCTTCCAGAGAACCTAGATTCAATTCCCAGTACTCACATGGTGGCTCCAACTGTACTTAACTCCAGTTCTAATAGATTGGACCCTCTCTTCTGGCTTCAGAGGGCACCAGGCACATACATGGTGCACAGACATGCATCTAGATAAAACACTCATGCATTTGAAATAAGTAAATATTTTTTTTCTAGATATTTGCGGGGAACCTGAGTTCAACTCCTAACATTCACTTAGAGGCTCACAACCACCTGAAACTCCACTTCCAGGGAATCTGACTCTCTCTTCTGACCTCTGAGGGTACTAAGAATGCACACAGTACACATACATACATACATACATACATACATGTGCCAGCAAGCCACCCATACATATAATTAAAATAAAATTAAAACAACAACAAACTCCTTTTGGGCAAAAGTCCAGAATATCAGGCCCTACGAAATTATGTCCCTATTCTCCTCTTCAGCAGTCTTTAGTCCTTGGTAACTTTGTACCAATTACAATACTTTTCCTTTAGTTAGCTCCTTAAGCATCCCATGCAAATTCCTTCCCCTCTCAAAGATGTCACACATTCTGACACTGACCACATTTACATGTCATCATGACCTCTTCATACCTAACGACGCCTCTTCATTCTTCAAACCTCCATTTCAATGTCATATGTAAGTCAGTGGTTCTCAACTTGTGAGTCAAGATCCTTTTGGGGGTCGCATCTCAGATACCCTACATATTAGTTATTTTCACTAAGATTCTTAACAGTAGCAAAATTAGTTATGAAGTAGTAACAAAAGTAATTTTGTGGTTGGGGTCACCATATGAGTAACCGTCTTAGGGGGTTGCAGCATTAGGAAGGTTGAGAGCCACTATCTTAGTGATCCACCCAGGATCATCCATGTTTCTCTACTATATTCTCTAAGAGCACCTAGGGCTTTTCTCTCAAGGCATATAGCACAATTGCTATCAAATAATAATGGACTTACCAAGCTTTCCCTTAAGCTCTGAGTACCAGGAATGCAAAAGACACTGGCGATATCAGCAGGCATGGAAAAGTCCATCCCTTCTCAAGTTACTTATTATTTAATGGAAAATGCCTGTGTCCATCAGTGAGTCAGAATATGAATAAAAACTTCTAATTCATATGGGGTAGCTGAGACGTTCTGTTAATAATGGCTCACTAACTCTGCTGGAGCATGAGGCGGAGTCCTGACAGAGCTGCACAATCGTCATGGTCTTACCTTGGGTATTTCTTTGGAGCCCAGAGCTTTGGGACCTTCACGATTTAAGAAGCTTCGATAAGCCTGGTAATTAGTGCGCTTCTTTTCAGAATCTTCTGGACTTACAGACTTTGCACAGAGGGAAAGAAAAAAGAAATCATACAAAATTAAAATGTACCCATAAATAATTACATATAATTCATTTGTGTGTGTGTGTATATGTAAATGCATGTATTTCTGATTCAGAGATACTGGGTGTGTCTAGCACATGTATATTGGGGAGGGCTTCCCTAGATAACTTTTAAAACCTACAACATTGTGTATTCCTATTTTATATTGTTTTAACTTAAAAGTAACTTCAAATCTCTTGAAGTAGACAAAATATTCATTTTTATAAATAAGCGATATGACCAATAAGATAGTTAAGCTGGTTTTGAGTTAAATCAGCTACTGCAGCTGATCCTAGAATCAGAGCCTTTTGTTGTTGTTGTTGTTGTTGTTGTTGTTGATGATGATGATGATGATGATGATGATGATGATGATGTTGTTGAGGAGACAGGGACTCACTGTGTAGCCCTGGTTGGCCTGGAACTTACTATGTGAACCAGGCTGACCTTGAACTCAGAGATATAGCAATGTCTGCCTCCTGGGTGCTGATATTAGTGGTATATACCATCACATCTGGCCCCAACCCTACTTAACAATGTCTCTCACCTATTAAAAGGTCCTTGTCAAATTATAGTTGCCTAGACCATGTGCGTTGGGAAGCCATATTTTTAGCAACCTTCAAAAGACATTCCTGTATACCAATTGGAAATATATTCATCTGTAACAGTAATTCTATTTTGTAAAAATCTGAAATAATTTTGGACTATCGGCCTGCCTGCCTTGTTGTTTGTTCTCTGACAGGGTCTCTGTGTAGCTGAAGCTGTCTTTAAACTACCAATCTTTCTTCCTCAGCTTTCCAAGTGCTGGGATTACAGGTATGCACCACACAGAGCTACAAAATAACTGAAACTTTTTCATTTACTAAGTTAGAATTATTTGACCAAGATCAGCTGAATTTACCAATCTCTGATGTTCCTAAGTACAGGTTCTGAGATATTTCGAGTCCAACTTTGGAAAACACCATAACAATAACAATATCACTTTTTAAACTTTGATTTCTTCCTCCCCCAAAATAGTCACCTTCTGCAAACTTCCCGACGCACTTAGTGTGCCTGGAGAAAAAGGTCTCCACCAGGTAAGCATTTAGTGAAGAAAATCTGAGGGCAAAAAGCTAACTGGTCCTCTAACCATATTTATGACCATTTCCTGCAGACAAAGCATTTTAAAGTCATCACCATCCACTGTTCTGCACACACACAATGGTGATGAGCAGTTCAAACAGACACAATTCTGCCTTTGATGCTAAGTGCCTATGCAGCAGGAGAGAATGGTAGTTTCTCTTATAAGTCTAAAGTGCTTCCAAAATGGAGGTCCAAAAAGACCCTCTGTTTGTGCTTTTTTCAAGACAGAGCTTCTCTGTGTAATGGCCCTGGCTGTCCTGGAACTCACAGAGATCCACCAGCCACTGCCTCCCAAGTGCTGGGATTAAAGGCATGCACCACCACACCTGCCCCCCCCCCAAAAAAAGTACCTTCTTAAATATATCTGAATCAGATTCTTTTTGTGTCTCTGGGGAACTTACGTTGTGACTCAGGCAGACCTTAACTTTGAGGTTCTCCTGATTCAGTCTCTCAAGTAACTGGGATTATAAGGCCTATACCCTAGTTAGGGGAGGCGGGGAGAGGTGCTTTTGAAAAGCATCATTTTGGCTGAACGGTGGTGGAAGCAGTGGCAAGAGGATCTCTGTGAGTTCTCTCCTTCCACCATGTAGGTCTCAAGAACAGAACTCAGGTACAGCAGCGCCCTTACCCAATGAATCATCTCACTGATGCCAAATATATAATCTTATCTCTATTCTACACACACATCAAGAAGTAACCATGTGTCACAAGCTGTTGAGTACTGTGAGCCAATTACAGCAGATGACAGTTGATATTTATAAGGAAACCCACCAGGTGATCAACTAATCTGATAGAGGAAATTCATAGGCAAGGCTTATGAAAATATTGCCTACAAATACTGCTTCTGTCTGTAAATCCACATGTGCAAAGAAAGCTATGGTATCTCCACAATGCTTACTCTGTAATGTGTAATTTCATGTGATATGTATATGTAACCTCATAATTACATCCCAATCTTATGGGCACATATATCTGTGGATGGTCAGGGAGATAACTTCTCATTAAGCTGTATAATTTTGATATATAGGAAATGTACTAGGATAAGCTTCTTAGCCAGATCTACTATTCCCTGAGGACTGTAAGACACTTAGGCCCTGTTTTTTATCACTAGCTCAGACTAGCATAAAGAAAACAATTTCTTCTCAGTTCTAAAACAAGCCACCTACAATTTGCTGATTCATAACCTCAAGAGCAAATACATACTTTTCATAAATTTCCTACCTCTTTTTTAGCTGGGGAACTTTTGGTTTTCTTAGGAGTTTGTTTCTCTTCTTTAAGTTCAATGGTGTTTTCTTTTCTTTTTGAGGCAATCAGCTCTGTGTCTTTGTAAGAACTTTCTTCTTTTGCTTTCATAAGTGCCAGCTTGGAGCTGGCCTTGGGAGAGGAACCGGCTTCCCTCTGATGAGCTGATGAGCTGTGGGGCTGTTCAGATCCTTTGGAGCTCCCACCCTTACTGGGCTTAGCAGGACTGCAGGTCTTTCTTTCATTTAAGAAATGCCCTGCTTTTACAAGGAAAGATTATGATTGTTACCTGGGCAATATGCCCAGCATCACCATTTTTATTCTTCATCTTTGAAGAGCATGACTTCAGTAGCACATAACTTCAAAACATTTACTACTCTAGCTCAGATGGCATTCTTGTTTTTTAAATTTAAATATTCACATAATACCTCTTTGCATTCAGTTCAAATTAAGAGATCTGTCATTTTGCCAGTTGGTGGAGACGCACACCTTTAATCCCAGCACTTGGGAGGCAGAGGCAAGTGGATCTTTGTGAGTCTGAGGCCAGACTGTTCTACAAAGTGAGCTCCAGGACAGCCAAAGCTACACAGAGAAATCTTGTCTCAAAAAAACAAACAAACTAAAAAAGAGATCTGTCATTTTAAATTTAAGCTATCCATGTTATATATTATTGTTAGTAACACAGAAAGATATGGGTGTAGCTCAGGAGTGCAGTGCTTGCCCACCAATGCACGAAGTCTGAGTTCAATCCCAAACTCTGTGAAAAGACAAAGATTTCATTCCACGGATATGCTATAAAATTTACAGAGACAAAACTTAGTGCCTGGAAGGTTACATAGAATTCTGTAAAATAGTGGGAAAGCCTCAAATCCTGAACTGCCAAGACTAAAAGGTACTATATAAGCAGATTTACTTCTATAATTAGATCTTCTATTAGCCCCTCACATCTACAGGTTCCATACTCATGGAGAAACAACAAGCTATGAATAGAAAATACTTTATATAGATACAACCTATGTACATTTTATCCTGATCACTATTCTCCAAACAATACAGCATAATAACTATTTACATAGCACTACACTGAATAAAAGTATCTAGTGATGGCTTAATGTATATAGGAAGTCAAGCTTTCTATAAATTATATGCAAATTCCACACCTTTTGCATACAGAGGTTGAGTCCTTACAAACATGGGTACCCACAGGGATCATGACACCAATCCTTCACAGATAATGGGGTGGGAGGGGAATCTGTATGCCAGCTACTTAGAAGGCAGAGGCAAAGACTGCAGATCTAAGGTTGAGGTATAGAATGATTCAAGGCCAGCCTGGTTATATAGTAGGGCCCTATCTCAAAATAAAAAGTAGAAGGCTGAGAATATAACTCAGGAATTTTAGCAGCACGTGCAAGGCCCTAGGTTTAATCCCTGGTATTGCAAAATAAAAAAGGGTAAGGAAAGGTGAGGAGTGACAGCATCAGTAGGTGGTTCAATATCAAGACCAGCACAGAACAGGCCACCCAAGACAATCGCAAGAGCTTCAGATGGTCTCAACAATCAGAAGTCAATTCCGTGACACTACCTCTAACATAAAAGCTCAAGGCATTGCTTCTTTGTTGTCACATGCCAAACTTAGGAAGCCACAAGTACCTAATGCACTCTTCATAACGCTAAGTGCAGAAGGGCATCCCCACCAGCTAGTGTCCAGCTTTCAGTGCAGAAGGGCATCCCCACCAGCTAGTGTCCAGCTTTCAAAGTGCAGGTGATCTCTGACTTAGGACTGTTCAACTCAAAAGTTTTCTACTTTATAGTGGTGCAAATGCATTCAGCTGGGAAACATGGCTATTTTGAGGTTTGATTTTACAGGATTGTGACTGTATATCAGCCCACCATCTCTGTGGGTCCCAAACTCATGGATTTAGTACTCTCTTGAGATACTGGGCATCAGCAGTGAGATTCTCCCCAATGTTCTATGCTGCTGACACTCAGAAGACTGGATACATACCTGCACTTTTCACTATGACCAAGTCTTGAGCACAAAGACATCAAGAGAGCAGGAGCAGCTTATCTAAATAGAGCACACACTAGCAGCTCTCTAAAACACCCACCAAACAATTAGTGAAAAGAATGCTTAAGCAAAGTTACCAAGTATTCTCTTCTATAAAGACAAGTAAGCGTTCTCTTACATTCCTTCCTAGAATTACCTTTATTAGGGCTCTTTTGATTTTCTGCTTTGCTTAGATCAGCTTGGAGAGGTAAAAATGATTCTCCCTCTTCAGGGTCCTTTCGGGCCTAAACAGTGTAAAAAAGTGTCAGAAGTATTAATAGGAAAACTGTTACTACAAAACCTGCTGTTAAAATGGATTAAATTTTTAAGTTTAAGGGTCACTTTTCAAACCAAACCAGCAAGACACTACAATATACTGCCATTCATTTATCTACAAAAAACATTGCAGCAAAGGCAATATTTTATTACTCCATTTTACTGATAAGGAAACAGATAAAAGATTACAACAGTATGCCAATAAAACATCTCATTTCATCCCAGTCTCCTAAACCAGAAATGGAAGTCCTATTGGTGTTTCATTTATCACAGCTTCCAAACTACTAATAGTATTATGCAGCTAAAATAGAAACAAACACAAAAAAACTGAAAACAAATTAAAACTCAGTAGGAAAATAAAAGAGAAGCCAAGAATGGCAGCTGATGCCCTGATCTCAGCACTGGTTGGCTGAGGGTTGAGCCAAGAAAATGCCAGTTTAAAGCCAATCTAGGCAACATAGTACTAGGCACCCAGAGCTACATGGCAAAGACTGCCTCAAAAAAACAAAGCATAAAAGAACACTCAAGAAAAAGAAGTTCAGCAGTGAGATTCTGTTCCTGAAAAGAGTACTACAGTTATTAAACTCACATTTTAGAGGACTGAAATATTCTCAAATAATACATAAAAAAATTCTTCTGATAAGGAATAAAGGCAAAGCCTATGGTTTTATGTGACAAATTCTGATTTATTTCTTGCAATCTTTTGGAAAGACTAACTTTGTAAAGGAATTTCCATACACACACAAAAATTACAAACTCAAAACAGTTTAGCTAGTGGGGTGACTCAATGGATAGTAACCCCACTTATTGTTCCAGCATGGGCACTTGAGTTCTGATCCCCAGCACTCATGGGAAAGCAGGCATGGTGGGGCATTCCTGTAGCTGCGCTGCTTGGGAGAGCAGAGACAAAAGGGTCCTGAAGGCTCACACTCACTGGTCAGACAACCCAGGAGAAATGCCAATAAGCTCCAAGTTCAACTAAGATGGAGAACAACAAGACCTGACAATCCACCTCTTGTCTACATGCACATACACATACACGCACGCACGCACGCACGCACAATAAGCAATCCAACATCATAATATACACCCACAGTAAGCAATCCAACATTATAATGCCATAATGTTACCATTTTGGTCTTGGGTTCTTCATCCAACATGGCTAATGTTCGAGCAAACTCTTCATCTTCATGCAACTGCCTCTCCAGCTGTAAAATGCACCAATACAGTAAGATGCTTTTATTATTTTTGTATCTAAACACTTTTAAATGTGTGCTTCATGTTTAGAAGAAATTAGAAAAAACTTTCTAAAAATAACAAATGACATCTTCCCACTAAATATTAACAGTATCAGGCAAGTTTACAGATCTCTAGACCTGCAAGCATAATAAAGTTAGTGCGCATTTTAAATTTACTTTTTTGTTACATTTACTTATTGTATATGTGGGTGTGTATGCCATGGCATTTGTGAGGAGGTCAGAAGAAAACTTGCAATAATTGTTTTTCTCCTAATACGGACCCTCAGACACAGCAGCAGGCACCTTTACCCACTGAGCCATCTTACTGGCCAATGGGGTTGCCACATTCTAAAGTGATATTTCTTTATAACATCTTAAGTCACATTTTTCTCTTAATGGTCTATTATATGTCTTGAGGCTTGTTGGTTCTAAGGAAAAGCTCATGTGTATATGTGCATCTAAGTGGGAATGTAAACTTGAGTGTAGAGAGCAGATGAGGGCATCAGATTCCCTGGAACTGGAATTACAGACAGCTATAAGCCTGACGTGGGCATCACAAACCAAACTCTGGTCCTCCACAAAGACTTAACTGCTGAGTCATTTCTCCAGCCTAGCCCAGGCTACCCCATACACCCATTCTTTTTCTTGAGGTGGGGATCTTACTACACAGTTCCAGCTGGCCTGAAACTCACTATGTAGACCAGGCTGACCTCAAACTCTCAGAGATCTGTCTGCTTCTGTCTCCAAAGTGCTGAGACTAAAGGCATGTGCCACTATATCCACTTGCTCCTTGTCCCAATCACCTTTTGTGGAAGGCAAGTGTCTCATGTAGTCCTGGATGATCTGGAACCTACTATGTACACCAGGCTTACTTATATGTATTTTGAACTCTAGAAATATCACTAGAAGGAATTCTAAGGGGCTGAAAATATGACTCAGCAGTTAAGAGTACATACTGCTCTTGCAGAGAACCAGGTTAGGTTCCCAGGATCTATGGGAGACTCAGCTCTAAAAAGATGTGATGTCTCTGATGACCCCCACAGGCAGCTGGACTCATACGCACATATCCACACACAAACACACACATATAATTAAAATAAATCTTTTTAAAATTCTCAATCTATAAGAAAATAATCATCTATGAGACACATAAACAGTAAATCTAAGAAATTTTAAAACTGTATCTAATACTGGGAAATAGCTGAAGAGGTAAGAGCATCAGATGCTCTTCAGAGGACCCTAGTGTGAGTCCCACATGGCAGCTCTCTTCCAGGCTCCATAGCATCAGGCACACATGTGGGCAAAACACTTATACACATAAAATGCAATAATAAAAACGATTTAACAGAAAAGTATCTGGTTTTTTTTATATACACAATAGTAGGAACACACAAATACCACCACCATTTTTCCTATCAAACGCATAGACATTCTAAGCACCTATCATTGCCAAATGTTTGTACTTTCAGCAAAACAGAGCTCTTTCAGAAGAGAATGTGAAATAATGAAATACACTTATGATGACTAAACATCATAAAAACTGGTAAAACTAACTGCCCAACTTAGTATTCAACAAAATCTTCTATTATTCAAACAGGAAAAGTCTGCAAAAATCTACCCAGTCTGAAATAAAGTTGAAAGCTGGGCTAAGCCTGATGAGAACTCAGTAAACAAGGTCTTCCTGGTTATAAAATGAACTAGTCACACTAGAAAAAATAGCTCACTGATAGAGGCCACATCTTAGCATGTGCAAGACCCTACATTTCATCCCCACTAGCAAAAAAAAAAGAATATAAACTCATGCTAAGTAGGCCTTTCCTAGCATGTCTTCACTACAAATAGACTATGCATCTAATCTCTAAAATCAATGTGAACATCTTAATCACAGGAGTTGCAAACTCTATGGGCAGGCCCCAAGGGTTTCTGAATTTGACACCACTTGTCCACAATACACAATGTAGTATATTTATGGTAAGAAGGATTCTAGGTGTTTTAGGAAGAACTCATATACTTTCATTAGAAAATTCGGGGCAGTGGTAGCACACACCTTTAATCCCAGCACTCAGAGGCAAGGGGATCTCTGAGTCCCAGGCCAGCCTGGTCTACAAAGTAAGTTCCAGGACAGCTAGGGCTACAGAGAAAAGCCTTGTCTGGAAAAATCAAAATAAAGAAATATTTATTACTGGTAATACATTTTACATAATAAAGATTTTTGTTTATTTGTTTTGGGGATGTTTTCTAGTTTTGTTTTTTGTTTTTGTTTTCTGAGACAGGGTTTCTCTGTGTATCTCTCTGGCTGTCCCAGAACTCACTCTGTAGATCAGGCTGGTCTCAAACTCACAGAGATCCACCTGCCTCTGCCTCCCTGAGTGCTGGGATTAAAGGCATTTGCCACCGCCCGGCTGAACCCTGTGTTTTAACAGAATGTATAATGTAACTGACTTCATGTGGCATCTAATATACTGACTTGAGTGTCAGATAATGGACAGACAGTTATCATGAATAAAGTGGTAAAATTAGGTGGGACTCTTGGAAGATAATTAGGAAAGATTATCAATTATTAACACCCTAAAAAAGTCATTCATTAGATTAATAAATTACCTAAAGATTCTAAAAGAATATGACAGAAATAGGAAAACAGGGGACTGTGATACCCTTTGGAAAGCACTGGGCAATCCTCTACTATCTGGTACAGATAAGGTAAGTTATCTAGAGAATGACTGGACCTAGGCCATTTGTACTACCCTGAGTCATCAGGATATCTGTTTAGAAATAATACAACAACAGAACCAATGGCAGGAAGATATTTTTGTTTGTCATTGTTTTGAGAGAGGGTCTCACTATAGAGTGTTGGCTGGTCTGGAACTTATTATGTAGACCAGGCTGACCTCAAACTCTTAAGAGATCTGCCTACCTCTGCTGGGGTTAAAGGTGTGTACTACCACACCCAGAGAGGTTAGGTTAATAAAACGAAGAACTACAACATGGTCTGTCCCAGGCTTTACAACAAGCACTGAGACATAATCAAATCTGGGAGGTAGAACTTGAAAGCTACACACAGAGGCACTTATATCACAATTTTAATAAGCGGCAATAGTTGCTGGGGGTCTGGGAGTCTGGGAAAAGGACACCTACTCTAAGAAACAGGGAAGGGTTTCCACAAACCCCTAACCCTGACTTGGGAAGATGAGCACTCCCATGAACTACAGTCGTAGTCAGTGTCTGCAAACCCCGGCTCTCCTGGTCGTCCCCGTCCATTCACCACCCTCTAGTCTGTTAGATCCTCCTCTTCATCTCTGACTGTTAAGAACCCCAGTGTTCAATCCTGAAAGTCTTTCCTTTTGCTTCCATTTCTCCAAGGTGGCACACAGGTACGCATGTATTAAATGCTACACAAATGTTAATGACTTCCAAATATACAACTTCAGTTGAACGCCAGACTTGTGTCCTCAGCTACCTCCTCTGCGTTCCACCTGTAGGTCTATCAGACATCTGCAACTCAACTGTTAAAACAGAACTCATTTTTGTTCTGTTTTGGTTTTGGTTTTTTTTGTTTTGTTTTGTTGTTTTTTTTTGTTTTAGAAACATTCCTTCCACCTGAACATGGGTTCCAGAAGTCAAACTCAGGTAGCCCAGTTTCCATGTCAACCACCCTTAATTATCTCTCCAGCCCCAGTAACAAAATGCATAACTTCTCTGGACCAGCTGGCTCTCCATCCTGTGTTTGGTCCTCAAATGGAATCACCATTCATCCAGTTGCTCAGGTCCCCTGACTTCAAACCTGTCACCCACCTTTCTCCATCTCTTCCACTTCCTACCTGATAAAACCAACATCTCCCACTTGCCATACTGTAACAGTCTCCAAGCTAGTCTGCTTCTGCTCAGGCCCAACTACTGGGAAAGGTTTCAACTACTGTTTGCATGACAGAAGCCAATGTACTTTTAAGACCCACCAAGTCATGTCACTTTATTTCCCTTTCTTTCTTTCTTTTTTTCTTTCTTTCTTTCTTTCTTTCTTTCTTTCTTTCTTCCTTTCTTTCTTTCTTTTTGTTGTTGTTGTTGTTGTTGTTTGTTTGTTTGTTTGTTTCATTTTTAGAGACAGAGTTTCTCTGTGAAACAGCCCTAGCTGTCCTGGAACTTGCTCTATAGACCAGGCTGGCCTCCAACTCACAGAGATCCACCTGCCTCTGCCTCCCAAATACCACCACCCGGCTGTCACGTCACTTTGTTAAGAACACCGACAGTGTCCCATCTCACAGAAACTAAATCTGAAGTCCTGACCAAAGTTCTTTGCATGGGTATCAAAGGCCCATGGTGACTGTAGGGCTTGCTGATGGCCATTTCTCCAAATCCTCTCCTGTCTGTCGTCTCACCCATTACTCCAGCCACACCAGTCTCCTGAGCACACCTCCTCGTCAGGATGCTCACACTTGCTGTCCTGTGCCTAGTGGGGAGCTGGGTAGCCACCACTGCCTCGCTGGGCTTCACCGTCTGACACAGTGCATTCGCCACCCACCCCAGAACTACACCTTCACTCTTCTTCACCATGCCTGTAATTACCTGCCATTATTTTCTTCCTTTGTTTTTTATTTAAACAGTAATCATCTACTACCATAGCAGTGCTAGGCACTCAGTAGTAATCAATAAAACTTTGTCAGATATGGGTTTACAGCTCAAGAGAGCATCCTGAACCAAACACAGATTTTGAAGTCCTCGGTATATATAGTAACTAACACAACAGGAAAGGGCAGATGTGCTCAGAGTCAGAGCAAAAAGACACAGGGGCAAATGAAGGTCTTTCAAAAACACTGAGGAGCCTCCTATTCACAGAACTTTAAATGTTTTACATAAATAATTATCTGTTAGGTTTATCGTTTATCTTTTATAGGAATTTACATTCTTATATACCAGATTTTAATTTATCTTACACCAAACTTCTAATAAGGCTCAATTCAAAATAAGACTATAACAATTTTGACCTAAGTATGGTTGTGCACAATTGTAAACCCAACACTCAGAAAACTGAGGCAGAATTGTTGAGGCCTGCCTACACAGTGAATTTTAATCCTGTCTTGGATGGATGGGAGGACAGATAGACGGACACACAGACAGTAACACCCTATTCAAAAGGACAAAAAAAAACTAGAACATCTTGGTTATTTGAAAATATGCACCAAGTCGTAACATCAAGTTATTAATGCTAACTAACTGCAGTACCTCTGCCTCTTCATCCAGCTGCAGCTGCCTGGCGATGGCCTCGTCATTTAATCTGGAATCAGCCGTGCTTTGAGAAGACTATATTCCAAAGAAAATCAAGTAAGATAAACATAAATTAGGCTAAAAGTAAAGTGCTTTTTTGGCAACACCTAATTAAATACATCAGTCAGAGATAGGTCTATCAGTAATTGTCACAATCTACAGCAACAAAGTCAAGACTACAGCTGTCCTGATGACATCTAGTTTCATAAAGAATAAATGTCCTACAGACAGTTCTCACTTTAAGAGAAGTGTGCACACACACTACTGGTTAGTGCTCTGGCTTGCAAATTAGTCTAAAATATTGGTCAACCTATGTAAGGATGATGGTTGAGCCCTGTGAAGGTACCAACAAGTCAGTACACGCGATAGCACAGCCTACACTGAGGCTCGGCCTTCACTGTGCTTCACCCATGCGTTCATTTCCTCGATCACCAGAGAAACTAGAGAATCAGAATAGCTATACTCTGTCAATACGATGCTTATCTCTTTTCAAAATAAAATTGGGCACTCTGTTTGCTGAAGTCAATAGTATAAGTTTCCATTTTGAAAATTCCATTTAATTTAAATTTTGATTAAATTTTAAATTTAATCTAAATTTTGATTAAATTTTAAATTTAATCTAAATTTTAATTAAATTTTAAATTTAATCTAAATTTTAATTAAATTTTAAATTTAATCTAAATTTTAATTAAATTTTAAATTTAATTTAAATTAAAGAACTATGACTTTTTCTTATAGATTAAATGCTTTCTTGTTTTCAAACAAAAAATGCATATGTACATAGTGTGTGTGTGTGTGTGTGTGTGTGTGTGTGTGTGTCTATGTGTGTATAAATTCTAATTCCTATAGTTTCCAAATGGGTAGTATTTGTCTATAGTCATGGAAAAAATATTTCATTATGATTAAAACATGCTTACTAATTTATAATATCCAAGTTTTCTTTAATAGTATCCATGAGTGAGTATCAATTCTAAGCATTCTTATTCTGTTGTTTCAGAGTGTCCCATTATCTAGCCCAGGCTGACCTCAGCTTCCCTCCCCCAGGTGCACGCCCCACGCCCAGCGATCCTCACTGTCACTTGCACGCAGAATACCCACCTCTTTTCTTTTGCTTGCCACCATCTTCTTACCAGATCTCTGGACACTTTCAGTTCCAAAATAATCGAGCACTGATGTTGGTGTAAGTTTTATTGGTGATAAAGGTTTATTCTTAGTCTTAGTGTTTTCTTCATTCTTTTTCATGTTTGATGCTCCAAGGTAACTGTTTGTAGATACTCCATTCTCTTTTGCTTTGGAGGTTGCCTTTTTACATACAAAGTCATCGTCTTCATCTTAAATGGAAAATATTTTTGATAAAGCATAGGTCTTTATAAAAAATAATTGTTTCTAGTAATTTTTTCTAAAAAGCAATACCTTGGGTTATTTTTTCTTCCTATCTTCTGAATTTAAGTCACTCTTATATTCACAAGGCCAGGCCTATGGTTACACAAATATTTGTAACACACCCATTCTATACCAGGCACTGAGGAGGCTCAGAAGAGACCACTTCCGTAGTGAAAAGATACACACCTGACCCCACGGAACCTGTGGTCTACAGGAAGAAACAGACACACTAACTTTACACACACACACACACACACACGTATACACACATACCTACATACAGATACATTTGTTTCGAGCTGCATTAAGAAGCAGTAAAAGAAAGCAGTCTAAGGAGTGATTAAGAATACCAGAGGCAGCCAGGCCAACCCCAGTCATGACTCCCTACACCAAGAAGGGAATGATTATAGAAAGGGATGTAATTCAGTGACTACCTAGAACACATATGAAGTCCTAGGTTCACCAACCAACACCACAAAGGGAAAAAAATGTCCAACAAAGTGAGGGATGTTCTTTCTGATAAAGCAATCATCAAGGAAAGCCTATTCTTGGGATATCAAACTCAAGGCCTTGTGTACCAGTTAAGTACTCTTCCCCTTAGCTACAATCTTTTACTTTTTGAGACAGAGTCTATGTGGCTCGGGCTGTTTCTGACCTCCCTACATAGCTGGGCTAACCTCCGGCTCAAACCTTCTGCCTCAACAAACCTGCTACTGAGATCGTGAGTGACCCGGCACACCTGACTAGGGAAAGTGTCCCTGATGAACAAAATCTGTTTATCAGGTGTTGTTGATCGTCATCAACAGCCCTGAAACGAAGACGGCTCCAACAAGAACAGTCAGATAAGGTACACTACAAGCACCAAGCCTTACAGTGAGTGTGCTCCCAAGTTGAAGGCGGTGTAGCTACAAGAGTTCAGGCAAAGAGGCAGAAGTCAAATCCTATAGGGCTTCCTAGGTAATAGAAAGAAACTCAGGCTGTAGCATAGAAGCCCGAGTAGTGCAAAGTCACACCCAGTTAAGTCTTGTCCTTCGGAGAAGACACTGTAGAGGGAAAGGCAAAGGTGAGGAGTTCACTCAGGAAGTCATTACAACTCCAGACAGGGTGCTGACTCGGGTAGGTTCACAGAGGTGGGAAGAAGTTTAGTCTCTGGCTATATGCATACTGAAGGATGATGTCTAACAATTATCTAACCATTCATTTGGGACTTCTGTTTGTTAAATTTTATATCCTAAAATAATTTGCCTCAGTAGGTACAAGTGCTCTGTTGCTAATCCTGATGACCTGAGTCATCCTTGAGACCCACCTGGTAGGAGAGAACTGACCCCACACGGGGTATTCTAACCTCCAATCATTCACTGAGGCGCATGCACCCATACATGTGGGATACATTTTGTCTACCCTGGAGAGAACCTCTGTCCTACCACACGCTCTACACCATGGTGTTCTGCCTCGTCAAAAGCCTATAGATGGGACCAGAGAGAGGGTCAGTGATTAAGAGCATTTGTTTTCACAGAGAACCCAGGGTTCATACCCAGCATCTATCTGGTACCTCACAGCCAGCTGTAACTCCAGCTCCAGGGGATCCTATGCCCTCTTCTGACCTCTGCAGGCATTACATGATGTGGTACACATAAACAGGCAAACACTCATACACAAAAAATAAAAATAAGCTTTTTAAGATTTATTTATTTATTATATATATAGTGTTCTATCTGCATGTATGCCTGCACACCAGAAGAAGGCGCCAGATAGTATTACAGATGGTTGTGAGCCACCATGCAGTTGCTGGGAATTAACTCAGGACCTCTGGAAGAACAGTCAATCACTGAGCCATCTCTCCAGCCCCAAAAAATAAGTTTTTAAAAGAAAAAAAATCATAAATAATTATTCTTTTTAAAAGCCTATAAACAAAGCAGTCACATAAGATAAACCTCTGAAATAATGAACCAAGTGCTTTGTCACAGTGGTGGACATCTACCATAATACACTGTCACAAGCACATCTGAACACACCCTGTCATCTTGCCCTGCTAAAAAAACAAACAACTCAAGAAAGAACAGCTCTGCCCCACACCACCTGGATGTCTTTTTAAGCCCTTTTAGGCTTTAGTACTTTAAAGGCTACATCGATGTATTATGTAGACAGAAGGCAATATGAGCTATGCGGCCAAGTGTGATGGTACAGCCCTGTAACTCAGCACTTAGGAAACCGAGGCAGGAGTTAGTTCCAGTGAGTTCTAGGCCAGCTTGGCAACACAGTGAGAAAGCATCTCAGAAAAATAACAAAAAGAATACAACAAAGTAACTTGCTTCCTACAAAGCCACAATCATTGAACAGGTTTTTGCTGAGCCATCCTCAGGTAAAATAAATCCTTTGCAATCCTACACAATGTGAAGAGGTAAAGCATTCCTCTTGCTTTCTAATGAACCTGATTTGTTTCTGTCTTTGTCAGAAGCCAAAGGCAAGCTGTTCTCTCCTCCCCAAAACCTATAATAAAACACTGATAAACAGATCTAAGTCAGATTTCTGGCCACTACTTGAAAATCATAGGCAACTCAACACTTAAAATTTCCCTCCAGGATATTTGTCTCCTTGTAAAAACACCATTTATTTTTATTTATAGACAACATAATCTCAAGTGTGCTACCAATGACCGAGTAAACTAGCATTTTCCAACACGGAGCAGAGGAATTGCCTAAGAGAGGAGATTGTTCTGCCACTCTGAGTTAGACATGTTCATTTATTTAGAAGGATAACGGGTGAAAGAGAAAGGAATAATGTGAAGGTCTATAATAAAATCTATTTACAAGCCAAGTAGGAAAAGCAAATCTAATTCTGGAGCTCCTGCGCTGAGTTTGGCCTCTGCAAATAGATCTGACTGTCCTAATGCTATGAGTGTCTTGCCTTTGGTCTGGAACATACCAAAATCCAATTAACAGGTAGATTTCATTACAAAGATTAAAAGTAATTGACTTAGCAACAAATGAAGCTCTAAGTAGGGAGCTGGCGCGCAAAGCCTCAGTGCGTGTATGGAGAGACTTTTCAATACTGCTCGCTGCTGTCAGTTCGGAAGGAACGGTGCACTTGTTAGGCCTTCAAAACACTTGTTAATTAAATGGATGGAAAAGGCGGGCAGCAAACATCCCATCTCTATTCATTCATGTGGTAAATCAGCTCACATACAAGCAGAAAAACAAAACTAATCAAGAAGCCAGGAGTCTCATAATTTGTTACCAATAAATCCTTTCAGAATCAATATGAGTCAGGTAAACAGGTTTTCTTTTGTGTGTGCTAAGAAATCACACCCAAGACCGAGCATCCTACAGGGAGAGGTGGCAAAGGCAAGTTAAGACATTAAACAATAGAAAAGTGGGTTGCATAAATTTATACCCAAATAAGTACATGTGTGCTTAAATACACAAGCTTGTTCAATGCAGCTGCATAAGGCAAAGGATCAGATGAGGGAATGGGATATTCACTAAGTGACTTAACACATTCTTAATCCAAACACTTCACCCATGCTCAAAATCTCAAACTTAAATTCTTTTATGCAAAATTCTAGCAGGCGGGGGCTAGAGAGATGGCTCAGCGGTTAAGAGCACTGACTGCTCTTCCAGAGGACCTGGGTTCAATTCCCAGCACCTACATGGCAGCTCACAATTGTCTGAAAATGCAGTTCCACGAGATCTGACACCTTCACACCAATGCACATAAAATAAAAGTTAAATAAATCATTTTAAAAAAATTTAAAAAAAAAGAAAAAATATCCTAGCATGCTTGCCTCCTAGGGAAGAAACAGTCCTGTTTAAATGTTCAGTAGGGATAGTCATTATCAAACACCATGCTTTATAAACTCAGAACTTCCACATTTTACTCCAAAAAGAAAACCCTAGCATGTAAATTAATATTGGTTCTCAACAAATGTAATCAAATACAATAGACAGTTCTCACGGCAGAGACATAGTGTCCCGCAATCATTCTGCACTTCTCTGGCAGAATCTATTTAAGAAAGCTTTCAGACAGAAAACTATACTTGTTGCCTCAAACACAAAATTATGTAACTCAAAAATTAAGCAGAGAAGAATATTATACTGACCCTTAATATTTTCTGCTGTTTTTCCAAGTGTTGGTCACTGACCTTACACAGCAACCTAGAAAGTACATCACCACTTTTTTCCCCAATTAATACCTATCAGATAAATACAACTTCCAAAGCACTGCCTCCAGAATCATTCTAAAGTTATCAATAAACAATCCTACAGAAAAGACAAGACAAGGAAAAGCCCTAATTTCTTCAATCAAACAACAGTTCCTGGTGAACCTGCATATGAGGTTCCTTTGGCAAACAAACCCAAGGCCTCTCATTTCGTTAAGAGCTAAAAGTAAATACATTTATCCAGTACAACAAGCATTTGGGGTTTTGCCAACTGAGAAAAAAATTTTACTAGTCAATGGCTAGCTACAAATATAGTTTACAAGTATTTTGCTCCTTTTCCTGTAACTTGGGAAACTGATGTAGTTAAACTCATTTTTTCAAATATCAATAAATACTTGAAGACAGATTTAATCAAAATAATGAAAAATATATCCTGAAGCTGCACTGTAAACCTGGCTACATAATAATGTAAACAAAAATACTTGACATGACACAATTTCTTCGGTCCTTCTCATGCTGTTTAGGAAGTATTACGCGGAAGGAAGAGATGCAAACATGGCTCAGAGGTAAAAAGCACACAATAGCTCGTAGAAGACCTGAGTTTGGTTCCCAGCAACCACAACAGGCAGCTCACAACTGCCCATAACTCTAGCTCCAGGCTATCCATGTCTTCTTCTGGCCTCCCTGGGGTACTGGGCACCCGTACTCAATTTGTACATACCCCATACAGCATACATACAATTAAACCATATAACCACAAACATAAATATAATTAAAAATAAAATCTTTTTAAATTAATTTTTAAAGCATTACATAATAGAAATAAAATGTAGGCCACTTCTATGATTTTAAAACAGCCACATGTTTTAAAGGTAAAGACCGGGTACTGTACTCAGTGGTAAGAGAGCTAGTCTAGCAATGCTCAGGGTCCTGGGCTTCAGTCCTAGCACCTCCCCCAAAAAATGTAAAAACAAATTCAATTATCTGTGGTAATGACCTTTTGGGTTTTATTTTTGGGAGTTGAGTTCTGTTTTTAGTTTGTTGTTTTTCAGACAGATTCTCATATAGCCCTGGCTGGCCTCGAACTCACTATGTAGACTCAAAGAGATGCCATCTGCCTCTGCTTCCCAGTGCTGGGAATTAAAGGCTTGTGGCACCATGCCCGGCAGCAGTGGTTTCAACCCCACAGCCAAGAAACAGGGGATGGTGATGCATACCTGAAATCTCAATGCTGGCAAAGTGAAAGCAGGGGGATCAGAATCAAGATACAGAAATCCATAGACAGGGCTACAGGACACCCTGTCTTCAAAATAGAATAAAACTAGTTTCTACATGTCAATTTTATGGGGTTGAAGAAATGGTTCAACAGTCAAGAGCACATACTGCTCCTACAGAGAACCCATTCGATCCCAGTCTCCACATGGGAGCTCGCAAGGGATCTGACAACCTCTTCCGGCCCTCCTCAGGCACCAGGCACAAACATAGTGTACAGACATATAAGCATGCAAAAACACATGACAATTACATAAAAAAACAAATGTTTTAAATCACGTGGAAAAACAGATACTATATAACACTAAATATCACAGTAGACGGGTGTGATGCTAATCTAACACTAAACATCACAGTAGACATAATCTCAACTGTCAACTTGATGAGACCTAGAGTCACCTGGAGTTAGGCCCCTCAGCGTGCCAGGGAAGTATCTTCTATAGATTAAGGGAGGTGGGAAGACCCACCCACTGTGAGCAAGACTGATCTGGGGGCAGTGACTGGACTAGAAAAGGAGGAGGGAGCAAGCTAGGCCAGCATTCACTCTCTGCATCTCATGCGGATGCCATGTAACCAGCGCCCTCAAGTTCCTGATGCCATGCTTTCCTCACTGTGTCACCTCACACTGTGGGAAAATAAGCCTTTCTCCCTTAAACTGTCGGAGTATTCTACCACAGCAACAGAAATATAACTAAGATAATGGGCACGCTGTACCCCCAAATTATTAGCTAAGATAAGGACAGTCCTCACTTCTACATACATATGCCATGGGCTGAATGGAACAAGATTGAGTCAGATGTGATAGCTCACACCAGTAATCCCAGGCTGAGGTAGGAAAACTGATGTGAGTTCAAGGCCAGCCAGGGCTATACAGCAAGACCATGTCTCAAAAAAGGAAATAACAAAAGACGGGGAGGGGAAATCAAATTGTCTAGTGATTATAAAAATCTCATCTAAGATACTGAACATCTCTTCAGAAGGCTGTAATTAAAAATTATTCTAATGAAAAGAGAATCTGTGATCAGAGCCCTTAGTGTACTTAAATTAGAAAATAAGGATAGCCCTGGTCCACAGTTAAAAGTCACAGCTATCTGGCACTGACATTTTTACTAGAAAGCATGACCACAGCATCTTCACTTACACAATAGACCTACTACCATACTGTTTTAACCCTCCCACACATTTAAAATGCCACAAAGGCAAAAGGTACCTCTTAAACACTGTACAATATGCCTAAGCAGATATTTAGCAACAAAGTAAAAAGGTTAAAAACGCCACTCTGTCCCTTTTGTAAGAAACACATCAGTACTGCCCAGCTTGAGACCCATGCCATGAAAGGAGCTCACCCCTGAGGGCCAGAACCCAGAGGAAAAAGAGCCAGAGACCTAGGACAGAACCAAACACAACTGGCAAAAAAAAAAAAGGCAATGAAATGATTCCTAGTAACATGCTGCTATATTCATATATAGTTGCCTAGCCCAACTGCCATCAGAGAGGCTTGACCAATCAACTGAGGAAGATAGTTGCAGAGACCTGTGCACAGTCAAACATTAGGTGGAGTTCAGGGAATTCTCCGGAAGAGGGGAAGGGAGGAATGTAGGAGTTAGTGACACCACAACAAAGCCCACAGAACTAACTAAGCTGGGCTCATCATGGCTCAGAAACTAAACCAACAACCAGGGAGCCTGCACGGCATTGACCTAAGCCCCCTGCATATATGTTACAGTTGTGTAACTTGGTCTTCTCATGGGACTACTAACAGGTGGAGCAGGGATTGTCTCTGACTCTGTTGCCTGCTTTCAGGACCCATTCCTCCTACTGGATGACCTTGTTTAGCCTTAACAAAAGAGGCGGTGCCTGGTGTCACTGCAACTTGATATGCCATGACTGGCGGAGATCCATGGGAAACCTGCCTTTTTCTGAAGAGCAGCAGAGGAGGAAGAGAGCATTGGGACGGGGTTGGGGATAAGGGGTAAAGGTAGGAGGGATGGGGAGAAAAAGAGGGAGGGAAAACTTTGGTTGGGATATAAAAACAAAAATAAATAATAAACAAACAAAAAAGAAACACAACAGTCTATTAAAAATGTTTCAAAAAACAGTTCAAGTGGGGGCTGGAGAGATGGCTCAGAGATTAAGAGCACTGACTGCTCTTCCAGAGGTCCTGAGTTCAATTCCCAGCAACCACATGGTGGCTCACAACCATCTGGAATGAGATCTGGTGCCCTCTTCTGGCCTGCAGGCATATGTGGAGGTTGAACAATGTATACATAAGTAAAAAAATCTTTAAAAAAAAAATAGTTCAGGTGTGGGAGAGATGACTCAGCAGTTAAGAGGACTAGTTACTGCCAGGTGGTGGTGGTACACACCTTTAATCCCAACACTCAGGAGGCAGAAGCAGGCAGAAGCAAGTGCAAAGGCTCCAGGTCATGATGCCCTTCCTCTGACAGATACAATTCAGAAAGCCAAAAGGAATACATTTGGTACCTTACCTGTCTCAGAAATGTAAGTAACAGGATCCTTCCGAGAAATTTTACCAGGTTTAGAAAACAGTGGCAACTTTTCTGATTTCTTTTTAGCATTTTTCACCTGCACTGTCTCCTCTGAGTCTGAATCTACAAGAGAAGGATTAAAACTATGAAAGGAAATACCAGTATATTTTTAAGTGGTCATAATGAACCAATCCCCTGAGAAGCATCTCTTGATGAATTCTTTACATTACTTTTATCAGTAATAAACTCCTGCATTAGATCCTATTACTGTTTTAACAACCGACCCAAACCTTAAAAACTACCCATGTGGGCTAGGAACATGGCTCAGTGGGTAAAGGTGCTTGTTGTCAAGCTGATGCTAAGTTCAGTTCCCAGTACCCACACAGTAGAAGGAGAAAGCCAACTTCCCCAAATTACCTGTCCTCCACATGTGGCACCCACACCCACACACATACAAAAACAAAGCAAAACAAAAACAAACAAACAAAAAACCCACAAATATATTATCTTTAACAATTCAAGAGGCAGGGGCAGGTGGATCTCTGTGAGTTTGAGGCCAGCCTGGTCTACAAGAGCTAGTTCCAGGACAGGCTCTAAAGCTACAGAGAAACCCTGTCTCAAAAAAACAAAAAATAAAACAAACAAGCAAACAAACAGAAGAGTCAGTTCTCTCCTTCCACCATGTGGGCCCAAGGAACTCATCAGGCTTG